TTATGAAATTCAACAAATTTGAGACAATAATTAGTTTGACATGAAAACAGATGAACAAGGACAACTAGATTTTCTATTTCGCAAGTTGTTAATATTGTATATTCTCCGTATAATCATCGAAACTATATTGTTTAGTTTAATCTGAATAATAGCCATTTGTATATGCTATTAAAAAGAATAAAATAATGAATGTTTTGAAAAAAGAAAGGAGTCTCTCAAAACTATACAATATATTGTGAATATACAAAAGAGAATTTAACAAAGATAATTCTTAATCGACATTTTTTTAAAATAGTTTCTTGAAATATTCTTCTATTGATTTAATTCTAAATATATTTATTAGAAATAATTTAAGAATTAAATTTGATATAGTTAATTGATTTTCGAAATAGAATAAATAATTATAAAAACGACACTTTTTTTACATATCGAGAAGAATTATTTTTAAATAATCGAACGAAAACTTCCGAATAGCAGCCAATATAACAAGAAGAAAAAAAAACTAATATTGATATATATGTTAATTTATCAATTGGTAATTCTTTATAATTCAATTGAAATAAATAGATATGAATTCGTTCATGTTGACATATTTATTCAATATGAATTGAAACGAATTATTTTTATTCGTACATAAAAACAATTTCTTTTTTACCTTTATTGTTTTTACTTTTTCAATATTTTCTTTGCTTTTATAACTAACATAGATTAAATTCTGATGTTTTTCATAACATTTTATATTTAAATCAAAGGATAAAAATTCATTTTCACATATTATATTTTCATATTTAAATAAAGTTAAATTAATTATTCTACAAGAACTATTTAATTTAATATATAATAAATTCTCATTTAAATATTGTTTTGTTTTATTCTATATTGAATAAATAATAATTAACATCCATAACATAAAAGAAAATATAATTAAACACATAAATATATTCAATATAGGTTCTTTCATTATTCACTAATTTTTCTCAATCAAATATATATTATATTTTCTCTCTTATATACTTAACGCACCCTCTTTTCTTCATTATTTTTCTTTATCAGAATGGTGAACAATATATAATAACTTATTTAATCATCAATCAATCATCATACACTTTTCGACATTTATCTTATATTATGCTCGATTCATTACAAGTTATTTTTATCGAGACTTGAGTTTGTTAGAAATATTTATTGAGTTATCTCAACTATAACAATGAAACATCTTATTTAATATATAAGAATAGCTTGTTTTACTAAACAATTTTGTTTTCCTATAGAATAGTTTGATATCTATATTTACAAACAAAATCAGTTTCTTTATAATAATTTAATTAACATCTTCATCTATACACTAGTTAACAATCGATCGAACTATTCAATCATTTCACAATAATCTTTGTCACTTCTGAAACTATCATATATCGAACAAACACTCTCGTAAACAATCTAACGATCGTTATACTGTATTATGTAATAAATCTAAATACAGAGGTATAACGGTGAAATAATCAGTGTATACGATCATTTCATAGAATTTCTTGATTAATTTCAATCATAATGCGTAGATGCCCTTGGTTTTTTATTCTACACAGTCATTGAGTTTTTAGTTTCATTATTTTATAGGCAGATATACAAATGAATATCCATTTCTAAATCGTATCCTTTCAATCTAGATAGAGTTTTCTATATAAATACATATATTTATTTGAGACATTGTACACTTAATTATATTTATGTTTTTAACATCATAATAAATATAATCTATGAGAACGATAAGTTGCTTTCATGCTATTTATAAAACAAAAGACAAAAAAAAACATAGTATGATAAATGATACTTAAACAATGATGACATCAAATTAAAGTTAACTATGTGTCACTCGATATTACTGATCATATAGAACAGAGTCACTAGTTTTAACAAATTAATATTGCTATTGATTACACAACATACGTCCTGAGAATTCATCATCAGAATCTCCATCAGCACATATCAACAACTAGTTTTTCTAGCGATTTAGGTTGCATTCATAAATGATTTCTGATCAAATATATCTTTTTCTTTTATTTTCTCATCTTAGTACGCTTCTGTTTGATTTCTCTCCGTCTGTTGTATGTTCGATGTTATCATTTACTTGATAAAGAACTAAATTGTTTAGTTCTACTCGTTCTTTTTTTGTTTTTTTTTTTACTAAATAATAGTTCATTAACTAAATATCTAGAAGTAAAAAATGAAATAGATGCTCAAATAAAAACAGATTTCTGTCGAATTCGACTTTCTACTAAATTTCAACACTGTACGATAGTCAAGATTTAGTCAAATTTGAATGGTCGCATTGTTCAAGATCTTCTAGAATAAGACAAATTTTTCAAAAATTGAGTTTTTACTATCCGAATATCGAATGCTTGTTGATGAATACGCATCAGACAAGGACATAAAACATAATTTTTATGATTTATATTTTCCATTGATATAGATATGAGATACCAGAGAATTGCAAATATGAATTATGTTGATCATGCAATTAATGGTCACATAAAATGTTTATGAAAATTTATGAAAATAAAAAGCAGAAAAATTCATAACAAGCATTTAAATTTTCTCATTTGTTTGAGCTCTGACTTTTCTGTTAAATCTTGTCTAATATCGACTGATATGACAGCTGACAGTTCTATGAAACAATAGATCTATTCTGTATCTTGCTACCTTTTCAATGTAGATAATAGTTTAAAATATGTCTACAGCATATTTATCAGATAAAACAATTAAATTTAAATTTTTTGTCAAATTTAAACAATTCGTTATTGATCAAGAAGTTAATCAAATAAAAAAAATTGATTTATTGAACTTACTTAGTTAAATGATCTTATTTTGACAATAATAATATTCAAATCAATAACTGTTATTCATTTTGTATAATTATCATCTAAACTTGTTTAGATTTATTTAATAAAAATGTGGAAACCTCGGATTTAGATCCGAGAGTTATGTGTACTTCAAAAAGTGAATTAGGCAGATGATTCTAGAATGTGTAGACATAAAAATTATCCTGGCAAACCTTTTCTATAAACACTTGATTTCTATTGGCTACTGCTCAACCACTAGGATTTAGAGATGAATACCCTAGGAAATATAGGATACCCTAGGAAAGTCATTTTTCCGATAACTTGATTTCTATTCATTACTGCTCAACCAGTAGGAGTTCGAGGCAAACGGAGCTCAGATTGGAGTTCTCCGACCCAAAAAACCTCGAACTGTCATCTCTATGATCGAAAGACAGAGCTCTAATTGTCCATCAATTAGAGTGTGAACACAAACAGAACCAATTCCCGTTTAATTACCCTTGCAATAGGTGAGTTAGTCTTCTTATTTCTTTATGTGTTATACACCATTTTGTAGCTCGTGAAATTCTCTATCGAATGGTGTATAATAGTTGGGGTTTTATTTGACTATAATAGGAAAAGTTTTTTACGAAAGTGGGGATAGGTCGATTCTCGCATAGGAAGGCATAGGTAAAAACGACTATTTTTCCAATAACTCAGCAACGGCTCGGCCAATCCTTCTCATCTTCGAACTCGACCGAAATATTATTGAGACTAAAGTGTGTAGAAAATTTCATCGCAATCGGACTCTCCTTTCAAAAGTTATCGTGTAAACGGACGGACGGACATACTGACCGATTCTAGAGTATACTTACTTTTTGACTACACAATAAAAATGATCAAATAATTCAATTCAAATTAAGATATTAAAAACTAATGCCGAAGGCATTTTTAATATCTTATAAAAAGTTAATTGAAATATTCTCTTCATAATATGATCTGATGATAAAAGGAATGTTTTCTATTTTCTCGCATATTTAATTATTCTTCAACGCATACAATAAGAATTTAATTTCAATAAGAACTTTTTCTTTATGATATGTCAATCTTGTATCAAATAACGTTTTCTCTTCGATCTTTATCATTGTTTTTGACAATCTTTTTTTACCGTCTTCTTCTTTTTATTGACTCTCATAAGATCTAGTCGTTCATACACATTCGAAATCGAGATAGAGTGATGTCCATAGAATAAAAACAAGAAATACAGAAACCAGCTTGTCAAGCCTTTATTTCAAGGGTGAAAGTGTTGACAGTGTTGGCAATATCAAACCTACATTTACGCAATTGATTTATTTCAGTAGATTTATGAAATAATCATACAGATTATTCATAGTCGATTGCGGTCATTTAATCCAATTATCGAATATTTGTTTATACTCTTCGATTCAATGAATTCCTGAACATGTTTACTGTCCGATGCAATCTTTTTCATCTTTTAGATTTTGTTTCATTAAGTTGAACAAGCAAAAATCATATAGTACCACATCGAGAGAATTACTTTAATTAAAACTTTATCATCTTGTTTCTGTATTTCTTTTCTGTTAATTAGAAATAAAAATAAGTCCGTTACTACTTTCTGTATGTTCCAAATAAGTTAACTTGAATAGCCTATTATTGTCTATAAAATCTAGTGTCAATGACACTCAAAATAATCAAACATAAACACGGATGAAAAAGTCATTGAAATTGATTATATTTATGAAAATATATTCGAATTAAATGTTCAATATCGAGAGTTATTAAAGAATATATTTTATTAGATTAATTCAAAATAAAAATTTGTTAAACAATCATACGAATAAAATTTTATTCTGTTTAATTATAGAAAATAAAAGAGAAACATCGAATGAAATAATAAAACAATGAAAACAAAAAAAATTCAAAAAGAAAAGAAAAGTTCGACTAGAAACATTTTAATATAATATAAAACAAACAAATAGATAAAAGATTATTATTATTGATTTAAAAATAAAAATTTATTATTATTATAATTTAATTTCAAAATACAATAAATATAATGAATGATTTGTTTTTCTTCAATTAATGTTAAACAAATAATTGTTAAAATAAAACCAATAAAAAAAATAAATTGTCCGAAACAATTTTCAATTAAATATTTACTTAAATAACATATTATTAATGACATTAATAATAATATTATATAATGGGATGAAAATAAATATGATTTTGACCATGAATTTCGAATAAAATATTTATTTATTATATTATTATTTAGAATTATTCTTCCTAATATATTTAAACAATTAATTATAATAATACCATTAATACCAAAGAATTTAGTAAATAAATAACATAATATTAAATAGATAATAGAATAATAAAATAATAAATTATTATTATTTAATTGTTTAATTGAAATAATTGATTGAATAAATGATTCATTTATTCCATTAATACCATTTAATAATATTTTAATTAAATATAAACAAAAAAAGATTTTTATATTTGAATTAATTGATAAATTTGATCCAATATATATATTTATTATTGATGATGAATAAGGTATAATAAATATAATTAATAATAATGATATTAACAATATTAAACGAATTAAATTATTCAATAATGTTATTGCATTTAATTTTATTGTTCGTTCATCTAATTAACAAAATTATATCGATTTTACTTAATATATATTTATTTTAAAATTTATTCTAAACAATATTTTGATATTTTCTTCTATTAATATAAAGAAAAAAAATGACATTGACAATAATTAAGAATTTTAATTATTGACAATTAATTTTTATGAAAAATCATCATAGTAAAATAGATGAGAAATTATTTTATCATCGTTAAATATTTGAGATCGAGAATACGATAGACTAATATTAAAAGAATGAAAAAGTAAGAAAGTAGAATTATTATTTTCATTAGATATATTTTATCATCGAAAACCAAATTGTCAATAGTTAAAATGTCTAAATTCTATCCATTTAAAACAATATATTCAATATCAATCTGATAAATAAATCTTGCATATAGAACCTATAGAAATTACTGTCAATCAAACTCAAACAGATTTGAAATCTCAGTCTAAGATAATATATATTAGATATTCAATATATTATCAAGTTTTTTGTCAGACGCTTTTTATTTATTCAAGAAAAAAAAACCATTTGTTTTGAAATATTTCATCTGATGTTCTCGATCAAATGTTTTAAGTTTGCTAAATAATTGTTTTCATTTGATATATGATTATTCGATATAAATCTATATAAAATGACTTATATCTCATTCAAACGAATTAGTCAACTGTCAATTAGGAAATTAGAACATTTTTTTCTTTTGAGAAAATAAAACGATTTAAAAATTTATAATTCGGTTTTTTTTTGTTGTCAAAGATTTGTAAGTGTTCTGAATATAATTTATTGTTAAAAATGAATATATGTTAAATAAATGTAATATAATCTGATATAAATACCGTTAGGTTTTGATGGTTGTCGATTATATTGATAATATGATATATTGTCTTCTCTTTGATTTAGTAAAATGTGATCATCATCTTGAATAAATTGATTGTTTTTAATAATAGTTCGATTTAATTTTGTTGTTAAAAATAAATATTGAAAATAATGAAAAGATATTTGTTGAATTGTTGAAAAAAGTAAAGATGGAAAAAAAGAATCAAATAAATAAATAATATAGATAATTGCTTGTTCTTCATATGATATTAAAGAAAATATTGTTATTATATATAAATGACCATCTATTAATATATTCCTAATAATATCTTGTTTTAAATAATTTATTGTTTTATTTAAAAATTTATGATCAACAAATGGATATATTAATTTAATTAATAAATCATTTAATGATGATATTATATATAAATAATAACGTTCTTCTTTTCGTTTAATTATAAAATAAATATAATTAATTGATGTTATTATTATTGAATAAATTAAATAACCATATCCATAATATAAAAGTGATGATTCGACATTTCTTATAATAAGAATTGTTTGAATAGAATATCCTAATCAAATTATATTTTTTCTTTTTTTTCACATCTCTTAACAATATTTAAACATAATTCAAAAAAAAATATTTTTCCTTTTAGAAATTAATATTAAAATATACAAATAAATAATTTTCATAGGTAAATTCAACATTTGATTCTAACTGATGAAATTTTTTTTTTAATTGAACTTCGATTTGATCGAGACTAATATGAAAATCTGATAGAATTCATTTTCGAGAGAAAGAAAATATTTCTTGACTCTACTAATTCATCACTTTCTTATCGAAAAAAATGATTTATTTTACCTATAATTGAAGCAATTAATTCAATATAAATCTGAATATAATCATATTGTGTAATTGTAGATAATAAATAAAATGGTTCTGATAAAAGTTCAATAAATGATGATAATAAATAAATAAAACAAGCTTGATTATAATATGGATAGATATTTTCATTATTAGTTTTTTCAATAAATAATCTTAAGAAAAAACTAAATAACATAATATATAATCCAATAGGAATAATTAACCATATTATATTAATATAATGATATATTGAATGTATATTAGTTTTCTTAGGTATATGACGACGAAGAGATTCTCTTGAAATAAATAATATTGTTCTATAATATAATTTAATACGAATATTAGCTATTCCAATTATATTTAAATTAACATAACGAATTATTATTCCATTAAATAAGAGATTTATTAAACCGATTAGAAGTTTACAATTCATATTTAATACTATTTTACTTTGAATTAATGAATATAGAAGATTGTCATTTGAAGACATTTTTTGTTTTATTATCTGAAATTACACTTTCATTTTAATGCTTTTTCATACATTCTATTCATTAGCAATATATTAAAAAACTAAATTTTCAACAAACTATAAAATAAACAAGAGAATATCATCGTTCGGATAATTTTTTTCTTTAGTGAAAAAATATAAAATGATATTTAGCAAATGAAATAGAAAAGTAAAAACGACCAGTTTATATCAAAAACATAAATTAAATAATAAATTTTGATAATTGTATGACTGACATTGACATTAAATATTGTTAATTAAATACTTTCAATATAGAAATTTTCATCTTGTCAAATCCATAGTTTCAATTAGTGTAGCAAATTCTAATAGATAAACTTTTTCTACAGATATAAATACGAAGGATACGTCATCTTTCTCTCTCTCTTACTTTTTATTTTTGAGAAGATATATGAAAAAGTAAGCAGCTAAATAATTAGAGATATTCCGAATAAATATTATCTGATAATTCGACTCGTTTGTACAAGTTGTCTAAAGCAACAGTTCTTCAAATAGAAATCCAAACGAACAAAATGTTTCGTTACATATTATTTATACTAAGTAAATATACATTTACATAATCTATTCGTAAACTAACTCTCATCAAAAACGTTTTGATGAAAAAGAAAAAGAAATATTTTTCATTCAACAAAAATAGCTTTTTATGATAAACAAAGGACGATAAGCAAAATATACGTTTGTCTTTTGTTTTCTTCTCTCTCATATAGTCAATAACATAATTAGGAGATAGAAGAAAAACCTAATCTATTATCAACCATATATTGGATTAGTTAAATTAATTCTTTTTTTTTTTTTTTATTAAAAAATCTCAATAATTATCTTGAAAACAAAATCTTATTTTATTGAGCAAAAAAATTCTGAATATATTTGTCTGTTCTAAAAAAAAATGCTAAAAAAAAGCAATTGCAAGATGTTCTATTTCTAACTTCTGCATGCAATTTCTACGAAATATTTTCATTTTCTAATATATTTCATTGGTTATGAATAAACAATCGAATGTATTCTTATTGATTAAATAAATAAAGAGACGAAATTTATCTTTAATAAAATAAAATTTAATAAATAATAAAATATTCGATATGTTATTATGATCGATATTTAATAGAAAAAATGTTTTAGTATATAGTGACATCTTTTATAAATAAAGAACCAACTTGAAAATTTTCTATAACAAAATTTTCATTAATATTCATTTTAAATATTTGAAATAAAATTTTTGAAAAAAAAATTGATTAGGAGGAAATAATGGATATTAATTACAATGAATTTAATTGGTTTATTGTATTAAACCATAAGAAGAATTTTTTTTTTATTTTTTTATTTTCTTTGAAAATATTCTTGGGAAATGAAAGATATATTTATTTTAGATCGTTGTTTTTCTCTGTTGATCATCAATATAAAATAAATAAAATGGGTCCACGTAAAGGTCAACAAACAGCTAAACAAGAACAAGTTAGTTTAGGTCCACAATTAGCTGAAGGAGAACTTAATTTTGGTGTTGCTCATATTTATGCAAGTTTTAATGATACATTTGTTCATGTCACTGATCTTTCTGGAAAGTAAGAGTTTTTTTCTTAATATTATATTTATAAAATAATATATATATATATAGAGAAACAATAGCTCGTGTAACAGGTGGAATGAAAGTAAAAGCTGATCGTGATGAAGCATCACCATATGCTGCTATGTTAGCTGCACAAGATGTTGCTGAACGTTGTCGTGGATTAGGCATAACTGCTTTACATGTACGACTTCGTGCAACTGGTGGAAATAAAACAAAAACACCTGGACCTGGTGCTCAATCAGCACTTCGTGCTCTTGCACGATCGGGACTCAAAATTGGAAGAATTGGTTCGTTTTTTTTGTATTTTAATATTTATTTAAATAAATAATTTAATTATAGAGGATGTAACACCAATTCCATCAGATAGTACAAGACGAAAAGGTGGTCGACGTGGTCGTCGTTTATAAACATCAAACATATTTTACAACACACAAATTATTTGTTTACATTTATATAATGTGGTTCTTTTTGTGTGTTTTATATTGTTTTAAATCATTCATTTATTCATTTTCCATCTAGATGAATAATAATAAATGAGAAAACAGTAAACATCAACAATTTAGTGGATTTTTTTTTTTTTTATTTTAAAGAAACTTTTATTTATTATCGACTTTTCAAACATATTTATTTAATAGAAAAAAAATCAATATTCAAATTTTTGTTTAAGGATTAAAATTAACTTTTCGATAATCATCATTCATATTAAACTATATATTCATTTAAATAGGAATTTTTATTTTTATCATCAATCTCAAAGAAAATAAGTTCACTTTCTATCATCATTTGTTGGGTATGATATTACCAACGAAGACATTTAACATATTTAATGTTAACAGAAAACAAAAACAAAATTTTTCTAATAGTATTATTTAAACTTAAAACACAACAAAATAAACCATATTTATAGATTTTCATTCTTAAATATTTGTTTTTATGGAAAATAAAAATTACATGATGAATCAACCTGCAAAAATACACTTATATATATATTTGTCCTGTAAATAAGGACTAGATGGAAAAATCACTCTTGATTAATTTGAATTTAACTTCTAAAATAAGTTTGATAATTAAATGTGAAAGTAAGGATGAGTCAGGTTTGAACTCTTGCAAATATTGCTGACACACATAACTATTTTAGCTTCAATTGTAAAATATCTTATATATGTATAATTCAAAGCAATCATTGGTGTCTGTGTCGACCGAATCTATCTACTATTTTTTTTCAACTCTATAGGATTTTGTAGATTTCGTGACGTGAAAGACTGCTGAGTATTGTCGTCTTATCAGGATTTATTTATACAATTGAATTTTGTCTCTGATTAATCTATTGATAGCATATTAGATATCTGAACTATATCAAAAGAAAAATACATTAATTCTGAATTATTAGTTGGTGCCTTCATATGATCTCGTGTTCAATATGCCGTTCTTCTTCTTATTATTAGTCAGATATTTATTCTTAACTTAATTTCTTTCGTTTCCTGATAAGAGACATCGAACAAGTTTATTAGAAAAATGATGACGCTCTTGAAAAAAAAAAATCTTTATGCAAAGTATATTCTAAAATTTATTTTTGAAGATGAAATTCTGATGAATTGATGATTTTGTTTAGATAAAACTAAATAATAATTGAATTAAAAATCTCGTCGTGTGTGTGCACATAATCAGTGAAGTCAATTAAATTAATTCTAACCGATATCGTTTGACATTATTTTTATCAATAATACATTTGAACATTTTCTTAGCAGTGAGAATTTATAGATAATTTACATCAGTTTTTAATAATGAGATGATTATGTCCACATATTAAAAGAGATCAAGTTTTTCAATAAAAACTGGTCGATATAATATTAACTAATTGCCTATTACTTTTTAAGAAACATCTAAAGATAGTATCTATCTTTTTTCAATCTGCTCTCTATAAATTTTGTAGATCAATCAATCCATTCTATTTAAAACTATCAACGATGTCTCGATAAAAGATGCATTTTATCACTAGACTATACTATTAGATTCTTTGATTAAATTCAAATTATAATTCGACTTGAACAGAATATGTCAAGTTTTATAATACAACTACAAATAATCAACAATTCATAAAATCATAAAAAATTGAACTATTAGGTTTAGCCAAAACTTGAAAAGTTGAATGTAGTATGCCTTAAATATTGTCTTTAAAGTAATCCATAGTATATTGATCATCAATCAATCAACTCTTGGAAGAGAATTGAACAAAAATATAAGCTTCTAATGATGAATCTTTTCAACAGTTTACTTAAAATTTCAATCGATAACTTCTAATGAAAGTCAATTACTCTTCATTTAGATTATACATAAATAACACTCGTCTCCATAACTCGATTAAAGCTCAACTTAATGTTCAACCCCGTCTTAAATAATATACTTCTATATAAGTCAAATCAATATTAATATAAAATGCATGCATGACATTAGATGTCAATGTTGATGAGAATTTGGTTGTGTGTGTGTCTATATGGTTTTACTCTTCATAAATCCAACCGATCGTAATCCTACCCACACAAAAAAGTATACAGCATACCATTTGTATGATTGTCAGATGTGACACTCTGTTAAAAGTTAGGGATCGAGAGTTACATAGCCAAAACATCTGATTGTATGAAAATGTAGCACGATGTTCTCACTTTGACTAGTCACTGTGATCTTGCATGAGTGTATAACAAGATTTGACAATTGACCAGTTCTATGAAATATAAATGGCGATGAAGAAATAATTCATGTTCTATATTTAAGTTAATTGAAAAATAGCTAGTTTATATATAATTTAATATAAAATTGTGAAAGCCTGATTAAATATCTATTGTAGCTTGATTATTGACAAGAAAATAAAAATAAAAAATATTTTTTAAAATGTTCATAAAAACCGTTCATTTGTCTATTGATTCGAAGAAATAGTACCAGTATTATTACTTAATCCAGATGTTACTTGTAAATGTTGATTATCTTGACTAGTATGAGAATGATCAAGACTTCCTGTATCAGGCATAACAACTGTTACACCAGTTCGTTCTGCTATTCCAGTTGATGTTGCTGTTGTTCCTACTGTTCGTTCTAAACCAGCTGTTCCTGATATATCTTCATCAAATTCAGCTGATCTTTCTTTTTTTACATTATTTTCCGACATTGAATCAATTATTTAATCAAACAATTCTTATTTATTAAGTTTATAAACGAATATTGTTTTGATCACATCAGTTAATAAAATACCATTCTTCAAATCAATACTATAGTTCGACCTCTATGCTTTCAATTAATTACGTTACATTTTAATAGGTGATATTCATATGTCCTCTCTGTAATTATTCATCATAGAAATATTTTATTTCATTAGAAGTTTTTAAAAAAATAAAAACAAAAAAAATAAATTATTTTAAACAAGTGGATAACTTGCAACAGTCGCTATTCCACATTGATTATTTTTATTTCTACTCATCCAAATATAACCTTGATTTCCCCAATTGGTTCCCCAAGAATTTTTAACAATATAATAATCTTTTGAATTAATAGTACCATATCCAACAGCTAAAACACCATGATCAAGTAAATATGTTGAACAATGAGGTTCATCATAAACTCCAGATGAATAAAATTGAAATGAACTTTTCGAAGCATCAATAGCTACTGATATTGGACCAACAGTAGCTATAGCATATTGAAGATCTGTTTCATTTTCCATTTTAATTTCAACAAAACCCTAGAACAAATTCATATCAATCTTTTTTACTTTTTTTAAATTCAAACATAAATACTTACTGTATCAGTAGCACCTATATTTTTTGGATCAAAACGACATTTTCTACGTTCAGCTTCGTATGGGTATGACCATTCAGTATCAATACCTCCATTAGATTTGATATAAAGAAAAGCAAGATCCATAATACCACCATGACATCCCAAATTAAGTGAACAATCAACTAAATTTTGTTCTGAAAGTGAAACAAGTTTAGATGTTTTAGCAAAATGTTGTCCTTCAAGTGATCCTGTTGTTGAAAAAGCCCAACATGAACCACATTGACCTTGATCTTTAATAGGTGTTACATAACCTTTTGTACGCCAATCTATTTAATTATATTGAAAATAAAAAATTTTAAATTGATATAAATAGAGATTTTTACCAACACTTTCTGGTAAAACAATATTTGATGGAGTTAAAAATTTATGACGATCAAATTTTATTGTTTCATTTTTTAAATTCATTTTATAACCATTCATTTGTTTTCGAAATTCTTCATTTGTCTTTATATAGAAAACAAAAAAAATGTTTGATATGTTTTGTTTTTGTAAAAATATATTATATACCATATCACCAAATTGATTCATTTCAAGTGTATATGTATGCATACCAAAATCAGATTCAAGATTATGTTTACGAATAATTGAAAGATTTTCTTCCCAAATTTGACGACTATTTACATTTATATTAGAAATAATATGTTCTTATGTTTTTTTTTTCTAGTAAATAATTATTTAAAACAAACCGATATGTTTCTTCTTGATTCGACAAATATTCTTTTTTGAAAATATGTTTAAATAAATTCCATGAATCATTCAATTGACTATTTAACATTGGAAAACAAATATATCCATTGATAAAAATAATACATAATACAATAGAAAACTTCATTATCGATCTGTTTCGTCACACAATTAAATATCAATTGTCGGGTGAATAAAATTCTTTTTTTTTTTATAATAACTGAAATAAGAACAACGATGTCATCATGTTGAATAATAAGAACTAATATTTATTGTTAAATATTATCTTATCTTATCTAATGAAAATATAAAAGATAAACAATAGAATAGATTTATTCGAGTTGCAACAAATGAATAGAAAACATTGAAAGATTTATTTTCATAAACGATTATTTTATTCAAAAATTTTATCTTTCAATATTATATTTTATTCAACATCGATCATTTTTTAAACAGTTTAATTCACTTTAGAAAATCCGAATACTTACACTTGAAATTATGTTAAATTATAGAAAGCAACACATGCGACCAGGCTTCGTAGCGATTCGTCCTGAGTATATAGGAAAATATAGGACTTTAAAAGCAATAATTTTATAGGATTTTTATAAAAATATAGGAAATATATAGGACTAATTTTTTTCCATAAGAAAGCTTTTAGCAAAATTGTCAAACATTACAATTACTTCTACGATCACACACAGTTTATACTCGAAGTTATCAAGTTAATTGAAAACGAATATATATAAAGCTTTCTGCATCTGACTTTACACATTTTTTTAATACTGATCATTATTAGTCATAATATAAATTTTGAAAAAAATAGTATGTTTGTATTTTGCATCTTAAATATCAAACAGAGATCGCATAATTACATATATGAGAAATCTAGCAGGAAAATGAGTTGGAATTTAATAGAAAATTATTCTAATAGAAATTTTAATCATTTCTACAATTTATAAATATATATGTTTTCATGCATAATGCTTCCATTTTCATGATTTCTTTCTTTCTCAAACGAACTAATATAGGTCATTCTTTAATTTCTACTCGATGTTTAATCTTAAGGCACAGACAATTTTACAACAGTTAATAGTAAAAAAAAACTTAACCTAATAATTTAAAGTATCTTTATTAAATACATGAAATATAGTTATTTGAAGTCGATATGATTTTCATATCTTGGTTCTTTTTTCACATTGCATAATAAAATATATAAAATTTTGAGAATCGTACATTATTAATATAAATAAGAATATTAAATATCTAAGAGTTTTCTCGATGACAACGAATGATGATCTGATTAAGATTTTCAATTATACTATCAATTAAATTAATATTATATTTTTGATCTACAAAGTATATTAAAGAATAATAAAAATTTTAGAAGAAAATTATAGTAATTAATAATAAATAATTTTTATTTTTCCTCTTATATGTTAAACATATGAGACTGAAATGAAAGAACAGGAAAGATAATCTATCTTTCCTGCCATTATCACCATCTTGTCGACTCACTCTCACATGTTTAATATTTAAAAGAAAAATCTAATTCATAAAAACGTTTGACGAAGACTTCTTCGTATGTGGAAATGTTATATTATTTATTATTATAATTTTCTTTTAAAATATGTATTATTCTTTAATATAATTTTACTTTAATTTATTTTTAATTTAGTATCAAATAATTAATAATAAGGAAGAATAATCATGTAATTAGAAACTTGAAATCAAAAAAGAGTTATAACGTTGTAGTCATCGTTGCCAGTCCAGAAGAATTTTCTTTTAAAAAAAAACGACTCGACTTTATCGGTGTGAGTGAAAAGAAAACTCATACTCACACTCATCAAGCATGCTTATTTTACAATGCTGGACAAAACTATTCGTCCTTTCATATCTAAACTATCATACGAGCTGACATGCTGAAAATTACAGTTTGTGTAATATTTGATAAATGTAGACCAACAACAAAGCCCACAAATCAAAAGAATAATTCACGAGGGAGTTATTAGTCAAACAGTTCATAGTCATTGTGGACTCTATAACTTGACAAAAAACAAAGTTCTTTGAGCTTTGGCTTTCGTCGTTTTAAAATCTCTGTATATTGGTTATCTCTGATAACAATTTCATCGACATTTATCAAGTCTCTGTGAGACTAGACTCATTTTACTAAAGGCAAGCTCGACAGCAAAAACTGTCAATAAGCAATGTGTTCCATACAATTGAGTTTGGGATCCGGTGGGGTGTGAGTATAGGTGTTAGCCACTTTTTCAACGAAACACCACATCCACACCCTCATCATAACAATGATTCTGACGACGACTAAATATGTAGATAGATTAGATGACAACCTTCAACATACCGAGATTATTTTCTTATCATTCTTTTCTATCTATATCTGGTACTATGAAAAAAAATATAGAAAAAAAGAAAAATCTTTGAATTTTTATTGAAACGATTATACATATGAAGAAAGGTTTTTTTCGTGAATATACATATATCTAATGCCCAATTAAATCTAGATGAAAAACAATACAAAGATATTTAAAGTGAATCGAATTGTTTTATGTCTTTTATAGTGCATAACCAAGATTTTAACGAAACTGATCTTCTGATGTCATTGGAAATCTTACGTAAAATAAAGCAATACAAGGAATCGATGTTTTTTTTCGAAATATTACAAAAATTCGATATGGAGCATACTTTTATTAAACAAACAGTTAACATTTATTTATTTTTTTTCAAAATTTTAGACAAATAGAATTTATTCTTCATTTACGGGTATTTTATATAGAACTATTTGGTTAAGTCTTAACTATGAAACTAATTGTTTCTTTTTCCTATTACAAATAGAAGAATTTTGCTTAGTCATGAAGAAAAATCGTTTCATAGAAAAAGTTATTAAGTTCTATCGAATTTCGTTACCAATATTAAAGTTTTATGTCCGATTCTCACTTACTGTTAAAATACATTTTTTGAATATGAAAGATCGCCTTCTGTTTAGATCAACATCCTGACATAATTCATCATTACCATATAGATCAAGAGAAGACAGTAGTAAAGAAAGCATACTGTTAATGGTGATATGAGAAGTGTGCTTAGCCCAAATTGATAGAAAATCTTGGTCACGCCACTAGATGCTAATAACAGCGGTCTAACCAAAACTATTATAAAACGTTCTATACGAAAAAAGTCGATTATTTTCTATTAAATAAGGAATAACTAGAACATTTTATATCTTTTCTCAAGTTTTAGATGACAAAAAAAATCATTTGATTGAATAGATTTCTTTAAATTGAAGTTAATTTGAAATCATTGTTGAAAAACTTGAAATACTTTTCTGATTTATTTAATTATCTGATATTATATGAGCTTGAATTATCGTCATACAAAGCAAATGAAGATTATTCTCTCTCTCTCTCTCTCTAAATATCTTAATATATAGAAAAAAAAACAATTATAGAATAGCGCGAGAGAAATTATTTTTCTAATGATATATATATATATATATGCTATTCTTTTAATTAATTATTATAAAAATTCATTTCAAGAAGAAAACAAAAAAGTTTTCGAAATTATAATTCAATTGAAATACATTCAAGTTAATGTTTGAAGTCGATTTAAATTTGGTGTTGCTAGTGTACTTTGATTTGTATATAAATTATGCGAGGAATTTTGATTATTTGATGAATCAGAATGTATTTGCATCATTGTCGAATTTGATGAATGTATATTATTTGTTGAACCTGATATGTATGTTGGTGATGTTGGTAATATAGTATTAGGATTCGTTGATGATGAATCATCATCAATAGCTGGGTGATGATGTAAATTTTGTTCACGACAAATAGACACTAAATGACGAAAATCTAGAAAAATTTATGAAAAAAAGAAACTTGAAGAACTTTTTTATTGTTTTTAAAAAAAAAATCAAACTTGTTGGACGACTAATTAAATTTGATGCTGTAGTTGATGAAAGTGTAGTTGAACCATTAAGTTCTGCATGTAAAAGTGAACGTCCAGAATGTCCTGAACGTTTTTGTACTTTAGGTGTTTATTGATGAAGATATTCTTGATTATTAGCTGACATTAATAATTTTAATTCACGTTCAATAATATGCATTTCACGTTCATGTAATTCTTGTTCCTATTGTTGTAAACGCCTTCGTTGATGATTTTGTTGTATTGTTAATTGAAGCATTGCTTATTCACGATCATGAATTTCCTTTACAAAGAAAAATACCTTTTATAGGTATTTCTTTTTTTGTTTTCTTCTTACTTGTTTTTTTGTTGGTAATCCTTCAAAAATATCTTGAATTTCTTTACGTCAATCTTGTTGTAATGATGAATATGTTTCATCATTTGTTTCCATAATATTTAATTCATTATTTGAATAATTTAATTTAATAATTTTATTAATTTGGTCATATAATTGACTGAATGTTGGTCGATCTTGTGATAAAATTTGCCAACAATTTAAATAATTTATTTTTATATAGAAGAATATATAAATATTAAAAATAAACAAAAACTTTTCATTAATTGTGAAAATTCTCTGTGGACATGTACTTGGTATAGGCTTAGAACCAATGCAAACTAATTATAATTTCTCTTAGATAATAGCTTGGTTCCTGTTCTTGACAAATATATAGTCAATGTCTATTTACGTCCAAGTACAGTAAAGATAAAATAAAAACAATAATAGGAGGGAAACTTCTGGAACATCTTTTTATATGCAATATGAAGGAGACGAGTTTATATGAATAGCATACAAAAACATGTTGATCATATAAAAAGAAAACGATTTTTTCTATACAAACAGAAAAGTAAAGGAAATGTAAGAGTTAAATTGCTACTCATCATTATTGAATCCAGAATACGACTTGGTGACCGGTGCTTGTTAAATCGACCAGATAAGATAACAATAAAATTTTCCGGACCACTTGATTTATAATAAAACTTCGTTAAAAAAAAAAGTATACGTTCCAGTTGAAGAATTTTGTGAATCAAATTTTTTGTTGATACATCGTTCAACTAAACAAGGAACAAGTACATAAAGAAGAACAATAAAATATCAAGACAAAAACTTACAATTGATTCTTGGTTACAATCTTTAAAATCTAGACAAGATGTTGTAACTTCACCTATTAAAATTTGGTTCGCACAAAATTCTTTTGTTTTCTTCTTTAGTACTGTATATGAATTATATGAATCTAGGTGAGCGGACAACTGATCACAGAAAATTGATCATGGGACAACTGATCACGGACAATTGATCATGGATAATTGATCATGACAGACAACTGATCACGGCGGACGACTGATCATGAATAACTGATCATAAAGGAAAATTGATCATGAAGGGTCATGAGATTATTGTTATCCTTTAGGGTGGGTGTGTGGGTGGGTGTGGGTGTGGGTGTGGGTGTGGGTGGTGTGGATGGGTGTGGGTGGTGTGGGTGTGGGTGTAGGGGTAGGTGTGGGTGTGGGTGGGTGCGAGTGTGGGGTGTGCGTGTGGGTGGGTGTGAGTGTGGGTGTGTGGTGGGTGCGAGTGTGGGGTGTGGGTGTGGGTAGGTGTGAGTGTGGGTGTGTGGTGGGTGCGGGTGTGGGTGTGGGTGGATGTGGCGTGTGGGTGTGGGTTTTAAAAATAAGAAATAAATTCACACCCACACCCACACCCACACCCACCCACACCCACACCCAC